TTTGGTACGCCACCTTTTGATCACAATTAAAATATGAGACCAATAAGATCCTGAAAAATTGTTTAGTTTTTGACCATAAAGTTCACATTTCCACAGAACATTTTATAAAATAAAATTTCAAAAAATGTTCTCTAAATGGCCTAATTTGATGAGAAACACACAAAATGTTCATCAAAATGTTTCATCAACTGACGACATGACACGTGAAATTAAGATTTTACTGAAAAATTCTAAACAATATTTTCAAATTTTTTTAAAATGTTCGTATTGTGAAAGAATCGTACAGAAGAGTTAAAATTGCATCAAAATTTTTCACCTTACAACCAACATGACAGGCAAAATTAGGATTTTTCCAAAGAAAAGCCAAAAGTTTTGGGGTTTTTTGTTAAAAAATCTCAAAATGCTCTAATTTGATGAGAAACACGCAGAAAAGATCAAATTTAGATTTTTTAAATCAATTTTCAATTATTCAATTTAAAATTTAAATCTTGGAGATACATTTATAGGAAATACAGAGTACTAAAAAATGTAATTAAGCATAAGTATCTTTACTTCTAAATTATTAATTTATCAATGCAAAAAAGGACGTTGAAATGTGAACTAGATTGCAAATTCTCAAAGTTTGCACCCAACGTTCACAGTCCAGGCTACAACGACCAGGATCTGGTCTATTATACAAGAACGAGGGCGACTTCATTAGAGACCAGCTGTAATTAAACTCATGCACCTGTGTCATTTCTGACTGTGCTCCGGTAACTGATCTACTTCACTGAAAGAGTTAGCTATCGGGGTGAAGCTAAGCTAAACTGTGCGAAAATAATCGACATCATGAAGACACATTTGTTAACAGAGGACGTTTGTAGCCCAACAATATCCATCACGTTTGGGAAACAAAGGTGAAAGCACAGATTCTCTACTCACCGACACATTTCCGCTTTCGCAGGTGTGATGGTGGAAGTTTCGACAGCTCCAGGTCCAGCTCCAGCTCCAGCTCCAGATCCAGATCCAGCTCCAGATCCAGATCCAGCTCCAGCTCTTCGTCCAGCAGGCACAATTTGCATCGTATGGTAAAGTTGTTGCCTCGTTTGCATCGGAAAACAAAGATATTGCTGAAATATGGCGAAGTTCTCTGCTTCACGCTAAGTCTCGATCCTCAAACTTCCATTTTCCTGTTCGACACCAGCCATCGTCCAATGGCAGGTGGGGAATCCGTGCGTGCCCGCCCACGCAATTGTTTCTCTCGATTAACGCATAATGTTTTCCCCACATTTAATTTTCAAATGTAGCGAAGTTAAAAAAATAATATTTTACTTGAAAATTTTAAATAAACTATTACCAAAACTCCTTAAAAATTACAATAAATATATTATTTTGAAGCTTTTCTAGGGATAAAAATCTTGCTTTTTTTTCACATTTTCTCCATTATAGGGGGAATGTTGAATTCTGAGGACTTTTTACTATTTTTGTTCGTTTTTTGTCAAATGTCATAATGTGATCTGTGGAAGTTTGTGCTGCCGTCGGTGAAATAAAGGATCAAATGTTTCATTCAATTCAAATGCAATAATAATGTCAAATGTATAGCCAATTAAAAAAAGTTTTTATTGACAATACTGTGAATAAGAAGAATTTAAAGACTATAAATAAAATACTTTTTAAATGTAAAAAATAAATAAATACAAATAAATAAATTCACTTAATCCTTTTCACAGTGTGACATCACATCCGAAATAACAACAGTCACATCATAAATAAATAAATAAAGTCTTAAAAATCCCTGATTAATCCGTCAGGAGTTGGACTTTCCTGACAATACCTGCCTTGGCTCGTAGGCGGGCAGGCCCACTCAGACTCCTGTCCTGTCACTCCCACAATGCACTGCCTGTGGTCCTTGCAGTAGTTGATGGAACTTAGCGTGCAGTGGCGAGGCTCCGTCTGTAGGTGGCAAATTCTCTAAGGCTGCGGATCATGTCGTAGCAGAAGGAGCGCAGCTGCGTCAGGGTCATGTGCACGGCAACCTGCAGCTCGTAGTTGCTGTGGAGACGAGAGGATAGGCCCAGGTCCGCGGTCTGGTCCTGGTCCGACAGGTGAGCTCCAGGCCTGGCCCCCTCCCTCATCTGTGACACACACACACACACGGGAAAACACACACGTGAGGATACGAATATATTTCTAATCATTAAACTCGTCTTTCCTCAGTGACGTTAACTGAAGGACATCTTTCACTGGAATCTCTCTTCGAAATACAAAATAATCTCCTTTGGTATCGTCACTAATCTGAACTTAAGGGCGTTACCTTGGTGATGTGGGTCAGCAGGTCTCTGAGGTCCACGGTCAGATCGCTCAGTCCACTCAGTCGATCTGACAGAACTCCCAGAAGCCTCTGGTGCAGCTGGCCACCAATCCACATACGATGGGTACACATGTCCTACACACACACACACACACACACACACAAAGAGTAACTAAACCATAACCACACTGAACTACTACTAACTGGAAAAAAAGATGTGTCTGAATTTTACTGAAAACGCCCCCTGCTGGCAGCCCTCAAAATCTCTAAGATTCAAAGAGTTCTATTTCTTTATAGACTTTATATTTAACTACAGAAACAGAGGCAACACACCAAAGTCCACAGAGAAAATCAGTGATTTTAGCTCAGACCAAAGTCCACAGAGAAAATCAGTGATTTTAGCTCAGACCAAAGTCCACAGAGAAAATCAGTGATTTTAGCTCAGACCAAAGTCCATGAAGAAAGTCTGTGATTTTCGCTCATGGAGACGCTGGTCCACCGCTGCCCTTTGTGGTCAGTTTGCGTTGCTGATGGAGGCAGGTGAGATCTGATCACTGATGTTCTCTATGGACTTTGTACTTTGCTGTATCCGTACGTACTTAAATGTGTTTTTAAGAAGCCCCGCCCTTCCCTAAGAGTTGAGACTGACCACTGAGAAGCGTTCGGACAGGGGCTTCAGGACGGGCGATGCGGGAATTCCCAGGGATGTCATCATCATCTGCAGCTGTGTTTCTTGATTGGACGGCTCCAAGGTCAATCCCTGAAACAAAAACAGAGAAAATAAATAGGTGCTAAAAAAAAAGGAGTAACTGAAGCTACCAATCAGATGCTTTGTTTACCTCTGCACTAACAGTAGTAGCGTGGACAACAGGAATTTCTTTGAGGATTTTCTCAACCAGGATCTTTGCGCGCTCCGCCTCCTCCCAGAAACCGGCTGAGACCGAGAACATGGGGGTTGACTGGACCAGAACCAGGAAAAGGAAGTAGACCAGCGTTGAAAAAACTGCAACAAAAAAAAAAAAGACAACTCCTTTAACTAAAATAGTTTTCACTGTAATGCTGACTTTCAGTTCCTTCTGTCTATTTCATCATCTTCACTGTGATGCTCAGAACTAACTCCTTTGTGTATTCACTTCTACACAGAATTTTCAACTCCCAGATCCTCCCAGTGGTTACAGCCTCTCCTCCCTGCCATGCTGACATTAGCTTTTTAAAGTGCTGCTAACAGTGGACTTTAATCCTGGTGGACAGCTGTGTCCAGGTAAGTACATGATTGCCAGTGAATTTGCACTGGGTGCAACAGGGTCTGGGTCAGTCCAGGTCCAGGTCCAGGTCCAGGTCTAGTCTGGGTGCAGGTTTAGTCCAAGTGTAGGTCTGAACGAAGTCCAGCCCTCTCCAGGTAAGTACCTGACTCCGGGCTGAGCCCAGGTTGGGTTCAGACGAAGTCCGGCTAAGTCTAGTTCAGTATACGTCAGCGCTTGTTCAGTCCAGGTGAGTCCAGTTGTGCTCCTTTCTCATTGGCTGCCTCTACGCAGCTTTCCGTCGCCGGGCTGACGTCTTACCTGTCGCTGTCATGACGGCTCCGTGTCCGTGTGGCGCGCTCTCGTGTATGCAGGGCAACGCGCTAAAGTTGGCTTCACTTTCCATCCGTGCGCACTTTTTATCGACAGAAGTTATTGCCGTGGCGTCACTGCGGATTCACCCGAGAAATCCCGAAGTGACGAAGTCCCTTCGTTGCGCAACGAACGCGTGACGTCAGTTTGGTGTAAAGACAAGGAAGTTTCTCATCTGGACGAAAAAAAAGGGGAATAATAGGAAAATGGTCAGATTAAACGGTGCAAAAGTCTTCACTGGAAATAAAAGAATGGATTTTTTTCATGAAGAGAAACATAAACATGTAAAATACACAGATATATCACACATTTCGTCATGACTGCAAACACTGCTATAATGAAGAAGAAGAAAAAACATTCAATGTAAATGCGATTGGACTTTTACCTTCACCTAAAAAAAAGGGAAAACTTTTTGTAAAGGTTAAAGCAAAAACATTTTTTTAAAGTTTATAAAAACGTTAGCTGAAAGTTGAGGTTACAGGCAGAGAGGTTGGAGTTAGCCAGAGTCACGGGCAGTATCAGTATTTGGTGAGAGAGCTAATTTTTAACTAAAAAAAAAAAAAAAACTTTCCCAAAATAGAAGATAAAGAACAGTTCAAGGACAATAAGAGCAAAAAAAGAGGAAAATAAGTTACTTTAACATTAAACCAAACAAATCCTGTTTAATTAAATTTCCAGTTTCTTGTTATTAAGATGTAAAACGATGGTAAATATTAAAAAATAAATTAATATTGAGATGTTTTTACTCAAACTTGCCTGTGTCCTCTTTTTTTTTTTTAAATAGGGAGGTGAATTTTTAGGAATCATGTCAGAAACCATCCCGACTGTGACGACAGTAGCAGCTGTAAAATCACCATCAGTGCTCGACGCATTTCCATTGATGAAGTAATGAGTCAACACGATGCTGAAGAAATCCGGGAGAGGTGAAACAGTCACACTCGACTTCCTGGTTTCACAGTGACTCAGGGCGGACTCTCCTTTTGTCCTGGTCCTCATTTGCCCTGAGACAGTGAGACAGTGTTCCTGCTGTAGCTCAGGACTTTACTTGCTTTTTCCACGTCGTTCCAGGACCTTCACACAGGGTTCTAATGTGTCTTCTTTCGATAAGTATATTCTTCTGAGCCAGACATGTCTTCTTCAGGGGGGAAAACTGCAAAAAAAAAATCTTAATATGATCTTTATTTTAGCAACATCATGGACAAGTCCAAAGATGGATTTTTGGATTTAGCAGGTGGTTCCAAAATGTTGTCTTTAGCCTGAAATATACTAACACTTTGACTTTGCTTTAAGTTTTTTAAATTACGCACACATACGTTAATACGCACATTTTAGTTTAAGTTTTGACTTATCTCTAACAGCCATCAATGAACTTAAACTAAAGAGTCAGTCAACCAGACAAACAGAAAGGCAGATTTAACCAATAAACCAGACCGACAATGTGCCAAAGCTGCCAACAGGTGGTGCTACAGAGCCAGAAATGATGAAAGCACAGTTCTTTTCAAAGACTTAATTATCTTTTATTGTTACACTTATTGGAAAATGGTCAGACTATGTGGCAGAACAATGTACGCACTCTCTCTCTCTCTCTCTCACACACACACACACACACAAAAACCTACTTCCTGTCTGCACAGGAAGTTAACACAGCAGCCTCATGGGAAGCTGTCATCATCGTCTTCAGCCATTTCTTTGGCAAATTCCAGATCCTGCTGCTCACGCTCCCGGCGCTCCTGATTACACACACACACACACACACACACACACACACGCACGCATTTTAATTTTCTTCTTATGGTTCACACGGTTATTTTATCTCTATCAACTTCAGCGTTTGATCCAGACTAACAGCTTTTAAATCTCTTCTAACGATCAGTTTTTGACAACTTTCAGAGATATTTGGTATTTTTTGCCAGGTTTCAGCTTCTTCTACAAACATTCCTATATTCACTTATATTGATTTTTAACAACTTTCTGCTCTTTGGCAAACTTTGAGATACGTTGTACATTTTTGTTTACGTTTTGACTCACTTTATTTATCGCTCTGTTACATTGGCTACAATTTTTCAAACAGTGTTCGTTGCATTACCTCTGCCGACTCCAGGTCCTTGTTGTAAGCTTTAGGAGGAAACCTCATGGCCTGTAAAGACAGAGACACCTGCTGACCACACAGTGGAACTGCAACGGGATGTGGGCAGAGGGCGCTGTGCTCCTTTGCAGCGTCACTGTCCTGTTGTGTTTTCATTTTTTCCCACTCTTACCATCACACTTGTTGATAGTCATGGTCCTCTCTTTAAGTGTTTTATTCTTTCAGATGTGTGTGTGTGTGTGTGTAAACCTACCTTCACAGACATGTTGTGGATGTCCAGGCAGAAGGAGATCCTTTGGTGAAAAGCCAGCTGTGGTTCTCTGGTGCCGTAGATGTCCATGGTCTCCTTTGACTGGACGAAACCTTTCTCGTGGTTGATGCTTGCCTCAATAACACCGTCACGGATCGCCTGAAAACGACACGTTCGTTTTTGTCCAAGAACCACTGAGTGACACCGTCAGACACGCGTGTGTGTAAGCGGTAATTGACAGCAGAAGCTTTGGTTACCTTGGCAACAATGAACTCTGCATCCTCAGGACTGTCCAGCTGCAACTTTTGGGCAATGTCAGCCAATGAAATGCGAGAGTACGACAGGCTGATCATGCGCACACCTGACACACACAGAGAAACAGGTGTGTGTGTGAACTGTGTAGCATCTGAGGAACGAGGTGACAGCACTACTGAGCTGTGATTGGCTTACCTGTCTTTATGACGTTGTGTCTCAGGCGGATGATGAGTGTGTATGTCCCATCTGTCTGGAACTTCTCACCAAACTGTTCTAAGACCTGGTTAAAGTTAGCCAGATTACCTGTCCTCACAGCTACACACACACACACACACACACACACAAAGACAAACAGATTTGTTTTTAGCTAGCAGAATTCAAATACAGATGTTGAACGAAAGGTGAAAAATGTGCGTGAGTCGGACAGTTGAGGGCATGGCCTGCAGCCCGGAGATCAGTTAACCTTGTGTGAGCAGGAAGTAGGGCATCAGTGACCTCTTGAGTGATGGCTGTCTGAACTGGAGCCTGTCTGGAATCTCTCCCAGCAACAGCTCCACCACAATCAGCAATTTATGGACCTGAAGACGGAGACAAATACACACATACACAGACACACTTACAGCTGATCAAGCAAAGATTCGTCCCGGTGTCACAGAGCAGCAGTGATGTCACTCAAACTCACCGTCTGCTTGAAGCCCACAGCGGTGTGTTGTGGGGCTTTCCTCAGAGCATTAGTCAAAGTCCTGCGAGCCTCGGAGTACTCCAGCTGGATGGCTTTGATACGACCTGTGAACACACACACGTACACATTCATGGTAGTATCGGGGTCATCAGACCAACCTCTGAACCACACTGAACTCAGGCGGACCTGTGTAGTACAGGTAGCGGGCCCACTCGTTGTTGTTTGCTAGCTCGGGGAACACAGATTTGGACACCAGCTTCTCGGCCTGGTCGTAGAGGTTGAAGTTCAGGTAGTTTCTCAGCAGCAGGTTCAGGAGGACCGCCTGGCCGTCAGTGTCGTGACGCAGAGTCGCTGTGCGGAGACGAGTGTGCAGGAAACTGAAAGAGTTCAAACAACATAGGACCGGCGGTCTTATAGGTGTAATTTGCGCTGGTGTATTCAGACTGGTGCATAATTGTATTTGGACTAAGGAACAGTGTGAGCATTTGTCTATACCTGCGTATGGTGTCAAACTGCTTGAGAAACTCGTAGACTCTGGCGTGGTAGTAGTAACACTTGGCTGCGACCAGATCCAGAGCTCTGCGGTTTTTGGAGCTGATCTTCTGCAGAAGATCATCTGAAACTTTCTGAGCCTGGAACACAAAATACACAACCATTCAAGCTTTTGGACACAGACACAGCCTAATTGATCCAATACAACTAAAAGGCTGCCTCAGATTCCTTTCACACATCTCTGTAAAAAAAAAAAAAAAAAGCTTATATACATTGAGTAACATGTGAATTTGATAGTAAAACTAGAACTGGTAAATTCTAATCAGTTCTCATCCCTAACTTATAGACAGATCAGCAAGGATGTCTGTATTTATATGTCTGTAATAAATATGACAAATAAAGAAAAGAAAATCACCCTATTTTATGGTTCTTGTTTTGATGGGAATCATAAGTGACCCCAACACAGAAAACAGTATCTTAACAGTAAAGAAGTAAGACAGGTCGACTTTGTCTCTGTCTGAAAGGTGAGGCGCACCTCTGTGTATCTCTTGTTGTTAGTCAGGAAGACGACCAGCAGCAGCTGTAGGTATGCCTCCACCTCTGGCAGCAGAGGAACTGTTGCCGCTTTACCGGTCCTGGGACGGAAATGCACTTCTCCTTCCGCCATCTCCATGGGCTGCAACAGAACAGAAGGACACTGAGGGTCAGAGCCCGGGTCAAACGCTGCATCTGATACACGGGGGCACACTAACACTTCACCTCCTCCAGGAAGCCCAGCAGAAAGTCCTTGGTGGCAGCGTTGGTGGTGAAGAAGCCACACACGGCCTTGTGGAGTACGTTGGCATTCAGACGACGGCTGGTGGATGGCAAGGCTCTCAGGGCACGGAGAACAAAGCGAGGCTCCTTCCCAGACACTGCCTTTTCTATCTGCTTCACATGTTCCTTAATGTCTGCGGAGACAGGAGCAGAGGAGGTGTGGCAGAAGATGAACACTGCTACTTTAAAATTAGCACTGAGCTAGGTGGCAGAAAGTTAGGTAACTTAACAACAACAACAACTTAACGTAGCCCTGTCAGGTTACAGTTGGCCCAACTTGAAGCCAGCATTCCAAAGCTAAACTGGTTTACAGTTAGCATTCTGGTAGGTTATCGCCTCCGTTTATGAATGTAAATATTAGAAGATAGCTAGCAGTTATCTCTTACTTCACTGTAACCACCTTGCTTGTAAACAGTTAACCCAGTTAAGGCTTTTCAGGTACATTAAGTTATCAGTTAGCCAGCAGTTAGGACTCAGTCTGTAAACACACTCGTTTATAGTTATATTAGACGATAACTGGGTTAGTTTTCAATTGTCCCTTTACTATGATGACTTTGCTAGTTAGCAGTTAGCTCTGTTAGCAATCAGTTTACACTTGGCTTCGCGGAGCCGATTAGTCCTCCGTGCTTTGGTACCAAGCGGTAACTTATCTCTTACCCTCCAAGGTGAGGCTGTCTTGTTCCCGGGGTACTTTGGCCGCAGAGTTTGCCTCCTCATCGGGCATCTCTACGTCCTGCTGCTCGGCTTCCTGAGGCTCCTTCGGCCTTTCGCTTTTGGAGTCGCGGCCTGCCGCCGCTGCTTTGTCACGCCGCTTGGCCGCAGTTTCTTTCATGGTTCTGGATGAAAGCTCGGTCACCTAACGCACTAAAAAAGTCTGAAACGAATGGAAAAATCGGAGGTAAAAGTGTCAGATTCGTTTGTCTGTAATCGCACTCTCGCAGCCCGGTGTATGTCTTACAGTGACGTCACAATGACTGGCTAACTGGTGAAGGCGCAAAGGATTGTGGGATAGGTCAGATGATCACAGACGCAAGATTATCAGGCAGGCGTTACGGGGGCGGGGCCTGTGCGTCTGTTCAAGACTGTTTCACTTTGAAAACACATAAAAGCAGCTGCTCTTCTTTTTCTTCTGTGGTTTGTTTACACCATCCTTCTTTGACATCATCTACTTTTTTCCTCGACCGCAATTTTTTACCTGTTGCTGCCAACAGTAAGTCCACCAATAGCATAAAAATTATATAATTAACATAATGTGCTATATAATTCTAACAAACTTTTTTAGAAAAACTAACATTTACAACATTTTAGGTTACTTTGCTGCTTTTTTTTTTTTGCTTTAGCTATTTTTCAATATTTGGCTAAAAATGAGCTGATTTCCCTCACACTGTAACGAAATGAGTGTTTTGGGGGTACATTTACGTTTTACAATTTGATAGCATTATGAAATTATTATAACACAATTGTGGAATGATTATGCCAATACATAAATGTTTAAATGTTTACTGATCTCTCACTTGGATATCTCACCACTTGATTGGTTCAACTGAACAATGTGGACAACAAAGTTTTTTGTTTTTTTTTCAAAATATCTGATTATGGATTTTTCTAAATTGCTTGATAATCAGAAAATACACAATCGGGCTGCATCAGAACAACAGTTTTTTTTCTCCCACCCTTGTTGGTGAATGCCCAGCCATAAACAAAAATAATTATTTATTTGTCTCTGACTTGGTGTCGAATACCAGGGGGAAGAGGAATTTGGTAAGATGCTGCCCCGCAGCAGGGAAGACACAATCAGGAGACAAGGGGACAGCAGTAAAGAAGAAAAGGGACAGGCACATGACAACCCAACGAGTTCTGGAATTGACTATATCTTTTACAACAAAAGGGGGTTTTGTTTAGTCCGAGTTTTAACTTTCGTTTTCACTTTCGAGATGACGATCTGAGCAGCAGCGGTACAAAGTCTCCCGTGACTGATCACACGGTAATCCTACTGCAATCCGGGTTGTCTCTCAGTTCTCACAATTGTTAAAATACTTTATCGAGTTACTATCATTTTCAGACGTTTTCTTTGCTTCTTTTTGTGACGGGAAGAGACCGTTTTTTTACCTTCCACTTTCCGGTGCGAGACCACCGAGTCGGGAGACGATCTGAGCAGCAGGTCAGTAAAAAGTCTTCTGTGACCAACTCAGCGGTTCTCAATTATTTTCGGTCATGCCCCCCCTTGGGGACAGAAATGTTTTCGCCGACCCACAACCCCGCAAATTGAAATACTATTGAGAATCTGATTACATGTATATTCTTATCTGTACAACCCCCCTCTCCCTCCAGGGGCGCCCGCCCCACTACAATGTCATTTCTATTGTTAGCTACAAATATTCGATCAAGAATCCATCAGTGTTCTTTTTCACGACTTTCTGTGTGCAGCTCTTACTTAACGGCCCCTGTAAATTATTTACGAGTTACACCGCTTGCCAACCCCGGCTTTGCAGGATAACCCTCTTGTGGTCATCACTGGTACTGCAGCTGAAGCAGCATCAGACTCAGGGCTGTAACCTTTACTCAAACTAACACCTCTGCAAGAACGAACATTTCAGTTGTAATTGTAGATATAAATAACCCCCAACACGTTAAACAAACAACAACAACAACAAAAAACAGTTAAAGTACAACAGCAGAAAGTGGAGAGGCTTTTCTTTTCTGATTGGATTTAGAGAAGATTGAGGGACTTCAGATGCGTGTATCTTGCAGGATAAGGAACCAGGATCTATTGACGGTACCATTAGCTGTTTAAACATAAACCATCACCAAATGTGGACTTGTGTACAGAAACAGAACTATGAACCACGGGCTCTGAGGAAAACAAACTTTGGTGGAAAAAACACACAGAATTGCCAACAATTTAAAAAATGCATTTGATCCTTGGAAATGATTCCAGGAAATATGTGGTGGAAGCAAGGAATATATAAATCGAATGACTGTATGTCTTAAAGGTTGTTTTAATTTTTTTTTTTTTTCAGATTTGTGATATAGAAGTGAAAGGTCGCCCTCCTGCACTGCCAGCCAGAGTACATTTTAGGTCATCTAAAGAAAGTCATTACCATGAGTACCGCTGACCAGCTGCTCTGTTGCATCTTCTCCTGGGTGGAGAAGAGGCGAAGATGTGCAGACCACCTGGACAAACTGGCCAATGAACTGGAGTCGTATCAGAAGGGAGGCGTGGGCGGTCAGTGTGTGGGCAGCTCAGTTGCAGTGGTCGGCGCCGCCTGTCTGATTGGGTCGGTCCTCACAGGTGGAGTAGCAGCTCCATTTTTAGGTGCATTAGGAGCAGCATACACAGGTACCGGCATCGCCATCTCTGTGGTCTCCAAAATAGTAGAGAGCTTCCTGTCCAACAAAACTCTGACAGAGGCAAAGGATGTGGAAGAGGAATGCAACAAGTGTGGGCAGGAAATTCAGCGTTTGTACAAACTATTGGAAGAAGAGCAGATGGAGAAGACCAAGTTTTCCAATTCGGACGAGCTGGACGACTGCATCATGACGGAGATCATGAACAGCATGGCCAGACGGAGTGGACTGAAGTGGCGATTCAACTACAGAACGTCAGGCCGACCTGGCATGTCTTTTTCTAATCATGGTGAAATGTTCTGCCATCGCCGAAGCCTAATTTTACTCACTGTCACGATGATGTGTGGAGTTTTAGGGTTTTTCTGCCTTAGTGCTGGAGGCAAGAAATCTGCTTCACTGTTCTCTGCTGGGCTTCAGCAACTGGTCAAGGGAGTCGGTGTGTCAGCAGCAAAGGTCGGCTTCAGAGCAGCTGCTAAGGTAATGTTCACAGGTCATGTTAGCTACATGCTCAGTTATAGTGGGCATCTCTATACCACCTGTACTATTAGCTTCAAACTTTAGCAAAAGTAATGTTAGCTACACAGTCAAAATAGGTACCAGACAAAGTACCAGTGATTCAGAACAAAAAGTTATGTACATCATGTACAGTACAAGGGAGTATTTTTTTTCAACTAGAAGTACCAGGAAACTTGATGAAGAAACTATTTGAGACTTGAACCAGTTCCTCTGCTACTATGTTGGAGGAACACTCTTTTACATTTCAGAATCATCCATGGGTTTTCTCTCTCTTCAGCTGGTGGGTGGAACTGTTGGATTGGCATTTGCACTTCCTGAGGCCATCGACAGCTGGACGCAAATGATCAAAAATAATCACGTGACTAAAGCCAGCCAATCCCTGCGAGACACAGCCAATGCCATTCGAAGAATGACAAAATCACTGATGGAACAGCTGGACCAAATCAAGTACGATGTTCTCCGAATCGAAAAGCAGCTATTGGGTTTTTTATGGTGTGGATCTGACAAAACTGTATAAATACTTAGGATACTTACTAGGTAAAAAGCTTACGTTCATAAAAGTCATAGTAGCAAATGTAGCTAAAGCAGATACTTCAACGATTCTTTGTCCTTTCGCCTGTAACTGAGGGCAAATTGTATTTACATTTACCTCAAGTAATATTGAGTGTCTTAAGCTTGAGTTGTAGTTCATTTATTTTCAGTAAAGTAAGCTTAAATTTATTTTACTCAAGTAAGTAAAATAAATTTAGTTTAACTTTAGTCATTTTTAGTAATTTTAGTTACTTTAGTTATTTTAACTCTAGTTTTTTAAAAAACAAGATTCTAAAAAGCTCCATCTGATCTAAGCCTTCATCTCAGTACTGCTCCTTCCTTTGCTCCACAGAAACTATCTCCAGCAGATTGAGGAAAAGGAGAATGAGGAGGAGGTGAAGTTAGCTCATGTTAAACGCTGTATTAAGGCGACCAACAGGAGTGCTGCAGACAAGAGCGTCCTCGTAAACTTTGCTGAAGAGAAGTGCAATGACGACTACTTAGAACTATGGCTCAGGAGGTCTCAGGACAACAGCAATGACGACTACTTAGAACTATGGCTGAGGTCTCAGGACAACGAAGAGGTTTATCTTGATCTTCTCAACTTGTTTTCGTGGGTAGTTCAGTGTGTTGAGAATAGATGTGAAGAAAAAGAAAATAAAGAAGACAGCATCCAGGCTGTGGACATCACCTTCGTGGCACATGGAGCAATCAAAGACAAAACAATCCCAGCATCCAGTCTGCTGCCCATGTCTACGATTAAGGATGTGCTCCTGTATTCTCCCTGGAACTGTAATATTACAGCGGAGGCAGTCTATGGCATCGCCACTGGACAACTGCAACCGTCACAGAGGGAGTTCCACTGTCTCAAAACAAAATGCCGCATAGATCACAACAGTTCCAGTTCTCCGCAGCATGTTCCCACTACTTTGCCAAACCACTGGAACTCTATGAGAAAAAGCAGAAGTGAAATTCCCAACATCAAGGTCGGCACTCTCCTGCAAAAGGAATATGCCTTGGCAGCATATTTAGACCTGACAGAAAGATATGGTCGAAATGGTAGAAGTCGCATCGTCATCCCGTTCTGGCTTTGCGGTAAAAAAGTCGCATCGTCATCCCGTTCTGGCTTAAAGGTAAAGAGGTTACACTTCCCTTCTACGTGGTGACTTGGGTGCTTGCGTTGGTGCTGTATGTCTTCAAGATGAGAGCCACCGTTCATCTTGCGGCCTGTCTGGGAGATCAGTCACAGAACAAGTTCGACAGAAATTTCTTGGCGACTCAGTACTCCTACACCATCGACAACACATATATGACACCATCGATAAACACACCTATAACAACACCGACAAACACATTTAACCCCAGGTACCCTGAGCTGTACCAAGCCCTCCGAGCTATCTTTAGATGTTAGATGATGGCCACCTGTTCATCAGGTCCCAGGACATTATAGTCCATGTAGTCAACAAGTAGAGTAGAATACAGTCCTCACTAAACTCAAGGACAACAAGAAGAAGTCCAGTGATCCTTATCCCGTCTTGTCCAACTTCCATTGTCTCTCGAATCATCGACAGAAGAGCAGGAGAATCCCACAACAACAGTTAATTCTGTCCTCTCTGAAACAGCGCTCGTCTCCACCCTCCACGCTCCTCCTCACCAGCTGGAGTTCTGACATTTTTTGTTTTCCCATTTTTGACACATTCAGTGTCAGCTCCACCACACCGTCTGCCTCTCCTCCTCCCCCATCCAGAGCCGATCTCCCCTTCTGGAACTTTCTTTCCTTTGATTTTTCTGTAACGGACTTCATATCTAAGAAAATAACGTGTACCAATTATCACTATATCATTACTATTATTGTTTGGAATGTTATTGTAACCAATTCTATTGCCACTCATTTTCATTTTATTAATAAAGCACAGGACATAACCTTCCATTGAAATATCAAGTCTATGTTTCAGCGTCTGTTTTTCCTCTGTGGACAGAGTTCAGTGAAGACATGTTTACAATCAGAGGTCAGACTGGGAGTCTCATAGAGATGAATAAACAAGGCTGGTTTAAACCAATTAAATTCTTCTATCTGTGTAGACCAGCCTAGTTTTCACGGAAACAACCTGAAATTATTGAATTGTGAGGAGTTTGAACCTAACGGGGATGAGAGGGGGCGGGGCTTCTGTAAACATAAGCAATCGCTGTCCTGTGAGGCTCTGTGTGTCTGTGCTGCATTCAAGGAAACATGGACGTTCTGCCAGTGTTGCTTTTGCTGCTGTCTTCAGCGGTGTGTTCAGGTACGTGCAAAATCTCAGCGTCTATTTTCAGTGATTGTGTCTGTATGGTGTGTTCAGGTTCAGTCAGAATTAAACCATTACAAGACGGAAACCTCAGTGTCATTTTGGTTGTCAATATTTTCTGGTCTGACCTTTGACCCCAGACAGATGTCTATAAACAAACACGAAATGTTCAGGGTCCATTTAGTCTAAACCAGCGCTTCACACATGATCCTCCGTTCTGTTCTCTTTGTCCTCAAAGTTTCTAATTAATTCCAAATGTTGCCTTGTCATTGGCTGATCCGAGTTCTGTGTGTGTGTGTGTGTGTGTTCAGAATGTGTGCGGTGTTTTGCGGGTTTTAATCTGACCTTAGGTCAATGCAGCAGAGAAGTCGGGGACGTGAACCAAAAGGAATGTTGTCAAAACCCGGACTATGGTTTCCTGACCGAGGACGGGTCGTGTCAGTCCTGTGGGTCAGTTTCTCACACACAGTGTTACACACAGGACAGCCGTTAGCTTAGCATTAGTGTCATCCATGTCATACCTGTGTTTGCCCAGTGTTCAGACCTGGTCTCCGTGGTCGTCCTGGTCCCACTGTAATGTCCTCTGTGGAGAGGGTGTCAGGCAGAGAAGCAGGAAGTGTTTCGGGGTCCTCACACCCGAATGCCACGACCCTCCAGACACGCTGGAAACAGAAGCCTGCGACGGCACCTGCTGTGATGGTAAAACACAAAATCATAACACAACCAAAAACAGAGTTCAAACAGACATTTAGTGGTCTCCCTGGTCCTGCTGTCCTTCTCTTAGTCCTGAGACCCTGTTCTTGTCCACCAACCAATCCAGTTCAGTCCAGGTGACTGAAATTTCCCATGAAACATTTCTGTGAGTGTGAGTGTCTCCCTTCTCTCTGTCTGTAGCAAAGGGGTGGAGCTCATGGAACGCCTGGTCATCGTGTTCAGTCACCTGTGGAGTGGGCGGGGTCAGAAAGCGAGAGAGAGTGTGCTCCAGTCCTCCTGATTGTCACTTGTCCTGCATTGGTCTTCTAGCGGAGACAGAGCCATGTCCAAATGTGAAGACCTGTCCAGGTAGAGCTCGTCTCCCCAGTCCCTGTCCCAGTTTCTCCTACTGCAAATTTCTGATCGTCCTTGTCCACCTGTCCATCACTTTCCCCGTCCTGGTCTTCCAGTCCATGGTTCCTGGTCTCCCTGGGCTCCCTGGTCTGGGTGTTCTGGTACCTGTATTGATAATGACATCATTCCACACAAATCACGTCAGCGCTCCTGTTCGAGCCCCGCCCCCTCCACAGACACCGAACCACCTGGTGACAGTTGCAGTGGGAGCGATTCCGAGGTGTCAGGCTGCACAGAGCTTCCCAACTGTCCAGGTAAAGACCTGCACACTCTGACATCGTTATGCTGTCTGCGCAAACACATGCTGCCTCCTGTGGTCGGTTTGTGCCACTGAGGTGAGGCTGAACAAATGTTTTTCACAGTGAAGCCACAAGGAAGTTCCTCCCACAGTCCAAACAAACGCAGATTAAGGATTAGGTTCATTGGACCCACATGTCCAAGGAAGGACACACAACCAAATGTGACCTCTGTTTTTAACCCATCACCAAAGTGGACAGTGGGCAGCTTTAAGCGCCCGGGGAGGGGGACGGTGCCTTGCTCGCAGCACCTCAGTGGTAACTTGGCAGCTGGTGGACTCGAACCTGAAGACTTCTAGACCCAAGGCTGCTTCCTTAACCACTGATGCATGGAGATAATGAAGGAATGAATGATGGAAATAAACAATAAACAATGACTGGACGAATGAAAGGCGTGTTTTGTCGGTGGGGGCGGCCCACACCCCCCAACCCCCCCCCCCCGTGTCTCTGTGAGCTAAAAATCACATAATAATGCAGAATTTGTACCTCTTCATCCTTTCTCTTTTCTTCTTGGCCTACTCTGCAGTTCACGGAAACTGGGGAGAATGGGCGCTGCCGGGTCCATGTTCCTCAGCCTGTGGTGAGGGGCTTCAGATGTCAGTTAGACTGTGTGACAACCCTGCCCCCAACTATGGTGGAAAATATTGCGAAGGAACAAACGCTCGAACACAGGAGTGTCGTAGTCAGTGTCCAGGTAACACGAACACACAGTAACACACTGCGACAGTGCTGCCATCTGCTGGTCTCACGCAGTACCGCACAGCCACCCGATAACCTTCTGCCTCTACTACCAACAGTTCACGGGTTCTGGACCGGTTGGTCCGCTTGGAGTGACTGTTCCTCCTCTTGCGCCACAAAGGGCAACACTCCTATGAGGTCACGCTCCCGCTCCTGTTCTAACCCTGCCCCCTCTTCCAGCCCCCGTGGCAAAGACTGTATGGGTAATGGCGAGATGATGGAGAAATGTGCAAACATCCCACCCTGTTCCGGTGAGCTAACTGTGACCCGCGCACACTTGAGTAAACGCTAACTGTCGGCTAACTTTCACTGTAAGCTAACAGCATTCTTACGAGTTACCGGTGTCGGTTTACACCAAGCTAATGGTAAGCTAATAGTAAACTAATTCTGGCCTTGAAAGAAGTTACCTGTAATAGCGGTGAGCTAGCTAACGGTGAGCTAACGGACTCCTCTTCCCGCTGTCATCACTGTTGACGTCACATCTGTATTTTGGCCAGTGGACGGAGGCTGGACCCCCTGGTCTCCCTTCACCCCCTGCCCTGTTACCTGTGGGGTCGGCGCCCAGCACTCCCACAGATCGTGTACCAACCCTGCCCCTCAACATGGCGGGAAAGCCTGTGACGGAGAAGCACATCAGCGCCGCACGTGTTCCACGGCCGTCCACTGTCCAGGTAAGCTCGAGCTCCGCCGCCTGCAGTGTGACGCCACAGTGACATCACCCGTGTGTGTGTGTGTGTGTGTATGCGTTGCAGTACACGGCAGCTGGTCCGAGTGGACGTCCTGGACAGACTGCATATATCGATTCGGTGTGAACAAACCCATCAACTGTAAAAAGATGCAAGGAAAACAGAATCGGGAACGAGAGTGTCTCCATAGGGCGCATAACGGAAGCTTTTGTATTGGAACGGAACAGTTTGAGACGCGAGGATGCTACAGCATCGGAGGCTGTCTGTGTGAGTGAGAGGAAGGGGTTTCCACGGAGGATGGTAACAGGAATGACACAGCGAGCCCAGCCGATGAATTGACGTCTCATTAATGACGGACATTAATTTGAATATACGCCATTTTACTGCTATTGTAAGGCTGTGTGGAGAGTTTCAATGTTTGTTTGTTTGTTTGTTTGTTTTTTTACTTTGCTGTTGTGAATTTGTTGCAGTAAAGGGCAACTGGCAGGGCTGGGGGGACTGGAGTTTGTGTCGACCCGCCTGTGGGGGAAATCCCATTCGCTTCAGGAGAAAAATATGTGAAATTGATTACAGCATTTACAAGTAAGATATCTTTAGCTGCGAGCGCCATCTGCCGTCGGTAAACGTGCTGAGACACACCCTGGACTTCTCTTGGTTCTGATTACGACTTTTTAGTCCTGACTGATGTGTGTTACTGTCCTAGTAATCGAGAAAATCGGATCGCGTACCATGGGAAACCAACGCCGGACTGTGACAACCTACCAGAGGGTGAAGTAGGATTCGAGAGGAAACCGTGCCACAACGTGCCGCCGTGCGCAGTGGGATGAAGTGTGAGTTAGTGGTTTTTACTTTTTATTTTAAACATGTTTTAGCAGTACTTTCTGAAGCAGAACCCAGTGACACCCATCTGATAGAGAAAGGAATCCACTCTTCACACTCTTCATACTGACACACATCATTAGACCAGGGGTTGGATACTGTGTGGGTTTGTGCCTGTTTCAAAGAAACTGGTGAGGATCATTAGACCAGGGGGGGCCAACCAATCAGGAGGCTCAGAGCCAAAACTTTTACTGTGGTGCTGCTAAAAGCAAAAAAAAAAAAACAAAAAAAAAACTCCCAGACTCTGTTAAAACTTCCTGTGTACATCATTTCATCTGTGAAAATTGGGTTTTCCCCTGAGTCATTTGTGTCAAAGTCCATCTGCATGAGATTCACACAGCGTAAAAAAAAAAAAAAAAATTCAACTTGAGTTCACTTTTAAGTTACATGTAATTTAGAGATAGTTGTAGAAAACGTGTTTTTGCCTTCTAGAGAAGTGTTGCCTTTTTCAAACGTTGACATTTTACATTTCAGAGAAAACAGTCATTCCATGTTAAGGAAGGACAAGCTTAAAATGCTGATCGACTCTACGGCGCCGCCATTTGACTCGAAGCAGCCACGTGACTTTTCCCTCATTAAAATTTTTATAAACATTTTTGTCATAATTCATTTTCAACTTGTACTTTTTACTTATTTACTTCAGGAGTTTATCATCCAATCCAACCAAGCTACATGTTTGTTTTAGCCACATGGTGGCGTAGTAGTTTGGGCGGTGCCTGAATATCAAGGTCATTTGTTTGTCGTTTTTTATTCTGTCAGAAAACATGACATGACAGAGAGACTGAGACTGAACTAACCGTTTGAGTGAGTGTGCTGTTTTTTGCCAGCCTTTTTGTAGCTTCCTGTAACAAAACTGAACCATTAGCTGTTCTTAGGTAAATGCCATTGGTTGACAGGGGGAGTCATCAGTTAGACAGAGGTACCTGGGGCATTTGAGAAGTTGCTCTGATTAGCTGCTGTACACAGGATGTGGAAAGGGGCGGAGTTAATACCATAGATTTTTTATTGAGTTTCATAATGAAAAAACAAAAAAACCAAAAACAAAAACAGCTGTGATGTCAGGGAGAAGAGGATGGGGTTTCTGAAAGGCAGCAGTCTGTCTGGAAAGGGGGTGGAGCTAAAATTGTCTCAGAGGCGTGCTTAGCACAAGGGTCCATCTGGGCTAGAGGACGTCGTCGCTCTCTGCCGTGTGAAGCTGGGTGTCATCGGCATCCATCATGATGCCGACATCATGACTTTCATCAAGCTCCGCCCCTGACAGAGAGAAGGGACCAGGAAGCTCCGCCCCTGACAGAGAGAAGGGACCGGGAAATAAACAGACAGACAGAGAGACAGAGAGAACTGAGAGTTAGAGTCCAGATCTTGGGCCATGATTTAATTCTGGGTGCAGGAAAACCACAACCAAGGTCATTAAAAATCTTAGGATGGAAATTTACAAGGTCAGCACTGTTTTTTGCTGACCTATGGTCATCACCGCCAACGATTCATTTAAAGCACTGAGTGAGTGTAGCTGCAGTTAACCCTGGACACGCACAAAGGTTTGTACAGACAGACAGTGTGTCAGGGACTAAAGGTCGGAGGTCACCTTCATCTTCAGGCAGGTATCTCTTGTCGATGGCCTCCTTGATCTGGTTGTTGGCTCCTTTGGGGTCCAGGTCCATGGCCCAGCTGAAATTCATTAGAGCCAAGTGGGTCTGACCCAGTTTTTTATAGACCTGAGGACAGACAACAGACAGAGAAACTGTTACTGACAGGACAGAGGAGAGGACGGCGGAGAGGACGGACATGACAGCTCTCACCTTTCCTATCAGGAAATAAACTAAAGACTCTTTCGGAACAATCTGTTTCAACTCCTCCAGCTCCTGAAGAGCTGCCTGAGGAACACACACACACACAGACAGGTTTAGGTCCAGAGCAGGTTTACTGACCAGGATTATTGATCAGGTTTCATTGATCACCTTGTACTTGTCGTTGGCGAACAGTATCGATGCTCGGTGGAACTTGCAGAGAGGGTTTTTGGGGTCAATCCCAATGGCTTTGTTCAGAGTTTCTAAGGCAGCGTCTGACTTCTTCAGGGCATGCTGCACCTACAGACACACAGACACAGACAAACATACAGTCTGAGCCGAGCCACAGCCTGACAGACGGTGGGAGGACAGGACTGTGTGGACTGACGTACCACTCCGATGTGACAGAGCAACACTGAGCTCTGAGGGTTGATGCTCAGAGCCTTCTTGAAATGGATTTCTGCAAAGTTGAACTTTTCCTGTTTGTAGTAAATCATTCCCAGTCCGTACCTAACACAAACAAACAAACAGGAAACGACGTCAGTGTCGAGGCAATCTCGTTAGCATCAACAAACGAGCAGCCGCATTAGCATACCAGGCGTTATAGTGTCTCTTGTTCACTCGGATAGCGTTACGGAAGCAGGCGAGTGCTCGGTCCAACTCCTCTGTCAAAACAAACTCGTGACCCAACAACGTGTAGGCGTAGGCAAAGTCTGGGTCCACCTGAGAGAGAGAGACAGGTGCAGAGAGAGAGAGAGGCAGGTGAACTACAATCATGGCATCGATTTTTCAGGCTCAGGAAACCACACTACTCACCTGGATGGCCCTTTGGAAGAACTTTATAGCAATGTCATGCTCCCTCTGCAGGCTGAAACAGTTACCTGCAACACACCAGGCCTGTAGGGAGACAGACGAGTGAGCAGACAGCCCGACAGATGAGCAGAGAAACAGAGAGTCAGTCAGAGAGACTGACCGACAACCGTCTCACCTCAGGACAGTTCTTGTCCATGTCAGTCAGGTCTTTGGACAGCACTGACAGGGCGACGTCCTTCTGCAGGTGCCACAGCGTGGTGGAGTAAATCTCCATCCCCTCCACTCTGTACGACTCCATCCTGTGCACCTCACTGAACAGACGCTCTGCCTAAAAGCACACGCCCTCCTCCACCTCAGCTCAGTCCTGCCACCAATGTGGTCCTTTTGTGTGTGTGCGTTCGAGTGTGTGTGTGTTACCTGCGTGTACTCGGCCAGCTCAAAGTAGGCTCTGCCCACATGGGTCAGAACCCAGCCCGTGTTGTAGTGCTGGGGAGGTAACGAGCTCAAAATGTTGATCGCTTCTCTGCAGCTGTAGGAGCAGAGAGCCAGGTAACCCCGACCCAGATCCCTGAGCAACGCCATGACACTGTCTGAGAGACAGACAGACAGACAGGTGTGAAACAATCAGACAGACGAGAGAACGGCGGACAGGTCTCCCTGAGATGAGGTCTTCTTACCTGCCGCAGCTCTCTGGTATGGAGGCACTTTGGTGTCCTGCAGACTAATAGCCGGGTCCAGCCTCAGGATGTCCAGACTCTCGTTCAGGTTGTTGCTGTTTGGCGTTTTTGTGGACTTGCACTTGGTCTTTCTGTTGGGAATCTTGGTGGGAAACTTCATCTTCAGCTTCTTGCTGTTCTCCTGCAGAGGAAGGAGAGGGAACAGCATCAGCACCTCACTCCAGTCGATGACAGCACAGTCACGTGACAGGAAACACAACCTTGGCCGTGGAGCTGGCGCTAGTGAAGAGTCTGGAGCTCCGTCTGGGCTGGACGTTTGGTGGAGCAGACAGACTGGGACTGAGGACCTGAGGAGAGCTGCTGACGGAGACAGGTGGAGTCAGACAGACAGGTGGACGGATGGACAAATGGCGTCAGACAAGACCACCTGTCTGTCTCTCTGGTCACACAGACAGACAGACCCACTCGCTGAATGAGCTTAGACACACGCACTGATTGGTCAGAGGCCTACCTGCTGTGTGGTGCAGAAGTCTGTGATTGGTTGAAAGGAATAGGAAGAACATCTCTGCTGTTTCCACTCTGACTGAAGACAGACTTGGATTGACTGATCCTGGAGACAGACTAGGAAAGACAGGTGAGAGATGCTTTGAGGATCAGACCAAACAAAGGTGGACAGGTGAAGTGGGCGTGGCTTTTCGTACCTTCTTGTTGGGAGCCGTGCTCTGAGTTTCCATGGTTGCAGAATAGTTCTGTAGATATGTTGGGTCTCCAGGGCTTGGCTCCAGGGGCAGGATTCCAAAACTGCACACACACACACACACGTTTAACACAAAACCTGTGTGTGACACATGTGGTCACATGACCTGGGCACTCACCTTGGTGTCAGTGGACTTAAAGCCGTCGGTCCTCCCATTAAGCTCCAACCACTCTTTGGCTTGTTCTGTTTTGCCAATAAGGACCCTGCTGTTGCCATGGAAACGCTATTACCCAAGAGAGAGCCGGCCTCCGGGGAGATGAGGGGGGAGTCAATATAGGACACTGACAAGTCAGACACCAACTTCCCAGAAGATTCCAGATTTAATCGGTTTAGCTCCTGGATCGGACAAAAGTGATTTAGGCTAAAGTTAGTTGATGCTAACCTAAAAGGTGTTAGCCTAGCACAGCTCAGTTTAAAGACTGCCGAACTGATGCTAACTTGTTTGTGAAACTCAACATTTGTTGTGTTTACCAGAGTGTCCTGGGGCGTCTCCATTAGGGCAGTGTCTAACCGATGGGAAGGGTTCTGAGCAGGGCTGACGGACGCAGGGGGCGGGGCTACTGAGAAGCTCTGTAGTGAAGACAACCTGAAGACCTGATCGGGATCTGGTTTCTCTCCTAAACAACCCAGAGACAATAAGACCATAATGACATCACATGATCTGACATTGGGACGTCGTGATCGTGATGCTGTCGGGTGTGTCTGCGTTACCTAGGTGACAGAGATTCTGGAACGGTGACCAGAGGAACGGGTTAAGACTGGAACTTTTCTGAAAACATTCGGCTCCTTTAGCGACACGATCCGTCTTACTGCACAGAGACGGAGGGAGGAGCAAAGAGAGAAAGACAGTTCAGGCAGTCATGTAGACTGACAGTCAGACAGACAGACAGGTGTGACTTCATCGTTACCAATAAATGTGGCCCAGTAGAGACAGAGTAAAAGACGCCGAGTCTCCAAACTCTGTGATGATGTCATCCTGACTCTTTTGTTTGTTCAATACTCCACCAATCAGAACTTGTTCTCCTTCAGCCAGCCTGAGACACAGACACAGAGAGACAGACAGGGTAGAGGTCTGTGTATTAAAGGAGCATCCATCAAAGACTTAAATGGAGTTGTTGCCGCACTGACATGTGTCAATCAACTCAAAAATCTGACTTTTGGCTGTCAACGTCTGCAGTAATGATTCTAACGGCGCTAAAGTGGAACAAACAATGTGCAACAACCACTAAAAAAGGTGTGTGTTTGTGTGTATGCTTACTTGCTCAGTTCCACGCAGCACTTGGCCAGCAGGAACCGAACC